CCCTCCCCCCGGGTTATGGCTCCTTTCTTGATGTACATTTATCTCTTAAATAATCATTGTAATTTTTCGACTTTAGATTAATTCCTCGTCACTTTCTAGCTCAATAAAAATTGCATAACGACAAAGAATGTAATAAATTTTAATGATATTTATAGTGACAGGGCAGGCCCGTAGGCTGCCTTACAAAAGAAAAGATTGCAACATTGAATGGCTGAGCTGCCTGTGGCATATAAAATCTGTTTGGGTTTCCTGTGTTAATGCTGCAATCTGGATCTGGGTACTAACTTGAAAAAAGGAACCTTTTTTGAATCCTTTCCATTACTGCTGTCGATGGTATCATTCTTGTAATTCACTATCTCTTGGATAATAGGAAAAAACATTGTATTACAATGTAAGTACATTCCCTACAATTTACGCTTGTTGAACGGGTTTTAGCGATGCACGTTAATTTGTATTTTTTTTCGATGGTTTGATGCAAGGACTGAATATTGGCAGTCTCAAGCTAAAAAATTCTGTGATTTCTGTAAATGTTGGATAACAGACAATAAGCCAGTAAGTACTAAGTATTATTTCATGCGCGATTCTTAATTTTGAAGTAAAGTTTGACTGTGATTGGGACATTAACTTATGTGTAACTTATAGAGCATTGAATTCCATGAGAATGGCAAGAAGCACAAAGACAATGTCGAAAGAAGGATAAAAGAGGTCAGTCAGCAGCCCAGGGACGTGGTCAGCCACATATTGAATATTGTGGGGATTAGATGATTATAAACATGTAGTAACATGCTTGATACTATTGAAAATTGTAAGGTACGCAAAAGAGGAATACAAGTAAGAAAGGATGATGACGAACTCAAGAAAAGTCTTAAAGCAATAGAGGCTGTAAGTGTATCTTGATTTTCCATTGGAATAAGGGTCTGAGTACGAGAATGGTCCATGGCTTCTGCATGTTGTCTTGAAAACCAGATCCATACCCCTCCTATCGAGGATCTTGACTTTTTGGACCCTTAAAGAATATCAAAAACATCCTACAAACCATCCTAACTCCAAAACAAACCATCCTTTAACCCCTGAAGATACCATCCAAATGCCCTGAAGATACCATCCTAACCCCAGAAGAAACCATCCTAACCTCCTGAAGAAACAATCCTAACCCCCTGAAGATACCATCCTAACCCCCTGAAGAAACCATCCTAACCCCCTGAAGAAAAATTCCTAAACCCCCTAAAGATACCATCCTAACCCCCTGAAGAAACAATCCTAAACCCCTGAAGAAAAATTCCTAAACCCCCTGAAGATACCATCCTAACCCCCTGAAGAAAAATTCCTAAACCCCCTGAAGATACCATCCTAAACCCCTGAAGAAACCATTTTAACACCTGAGGAAACCATTTTAACACCTGAAGAAACCATCCTAAACCCCCATCTGATTTGATTGCACCTCTTCTTGTTCCTCTACATCAATAGATTTCGATGTTGTACTTAAAGCATTGACCTTGTCTGGCAAACAGTCCATGTATATTTGAACGATCAAAGGCGCATTAAAGTTAGAGGCGTGTTGATCTTTTCCAACAAATATGAACAAGACACTCATTGCATGCATGCCATATAATGTTTAGGTTGGATGTTATGAATAGTAAAAATTGCAATATGCATTGGGAAATATGCAAATACATAAATTAGAAAAAGAGTCGACTTCGCGTAGATCTACATGTTGTCAAATGTTGATTTTTCATTTTAAAAACAAAAATCCATTGTGTATGTTGTGATGATTTGCTGGTTCATTGTTCTCAAAGCATGTAGTCACGTGAGTACTTCATTATCATACTAATTTGCATGCAAAACATTGCTTATGTGATATCACTCTAATGTAATCATGTCATAATATATACTCCGAAAAAGAACACTCTAAAGGACATGCAACACTCGCAATAGGCAATGTGCAGCGACTCTATTTTACGCAGCAAAGCATGATGGTAGTTGTAGTCCTCACACTTGTATATGTCCGCTAAATCACTCCTAGTAGATTGTTTTGCCATTTCTACAAAGAAAGCATAATAAAGGCTAGATCATTTTATTAATTTTGCTCATTTGAGGTTGAGTGCATGGACTAATAGGTGCTAAATATTGTCCCAGTTCCCTTGTTTTCTATTGTCTAAACTCTATTATAAGTAATTATTTATTTCACAGATAAATTAGTGTATGTATTCTACCTCAAATATACCATTTGAAAATAATTGATTTTTTTTCTARAAATGAATGTTGTATACTATTTGTCATCAATATTTATACGTACATTTTCTACAGAATTTGTAGAGAGCACTCTGCTCCTTATTATCATAACAATATTTTGATGTCAACAGGCTGCATTAGAAGCATATAAAAAGGATGTTGGCGAAGATAATATTACAGGCAATACATCAACAGATGCCACATATAGTTGGAAACAATGTCCACCTTCAATGTATRCAGCTACAACTAATACTAGTGTATCATCAGAAACAGGTTGGTTAATTGAGCTTTTTTATCAAAAAAAAATTTTTTCTGGACACGAATATTAAAACGCATTCATTTAAAACTAATTAAACAAAATTGGCACTGTATGAGGATTTACCTACATGTACCATTCAAAGTTCTGAATGACAATGATATGATTGTTCACATGTAGGTTGCAGCATTTCCTATATAGATGGTCAGCCAGTTGTACGTTGTATGCATCACTGGTCTATTGGTCAATCAGACCATGGTTACTACTACTACTACAATACTCAAACTAATGGTAAGT